GCAGAATCAACAGATGTGTGAACAGTGTGTATTCAAGAAGATGATTTGGAAACAACGGGTAAAACAGCAATGGTGATTAACAATGAAGCAGAGTTTCTTGGAAAGCAACAAGAAATAAAACCAGGAGGAACAGTGGCTTACCAGAAAGAGGGAAACGGCGAATGAGAATTGCCGAAGTCTGACGACGGATGCGAAAATGACAAAATGACGTAAGCTTCACCGCAGGAGAGGAACGAAAACAGTTGCAGAGCTTGAAAGCTTGGAACAAGACGAATTTAAGAAAAAGAGCTAGAAAGAGAAAAAGCCAGAGATTGAATGAAAAAAGAAAAAAATCAAAGTCAAGAAGATGACAAAGTTCAAGAATAAAGCCAAGTGCACAGGCACTAAGTAAGTATGTGAAGAACAAGAAAGTAATGACCCAGACACGATGCTAGCAACAAAAAGCGGAATATGGCAAGAACAGTGTCAGGCGTTCAAACAATTCAAAACTTGAAAACAGACGAAAATAGAAGACAACAGAGAGCAAGTAAACGGATTCAGAAGAGTTATGAAAGATTGAGCTAAATAAAAGAGTTATGAACCTACCAAGAGAATGAACGCCGATATGAAGATCGCCGGAGTCAAATAGATGACTGGAAGTCGGGAACCCACCGAAGAATGTGAGTGGACCAGTTGCAAAGCTCTTGAGTTTACGAATTAATGGAACAAGAACCTCGGCTAGGAGGTGTGATCTCAAGCAGCTTGGAAAGCATGAAGCTTGATACTTGACAGAAGTGAACAGTAAAGTCCAGGGAACTTTGAGGTCGGCAAGTTTGATCTCGGACAGAAGGGCACAGATGAACAAACAGTGTAGGTTCCATCACTTCAGAATGTCGAGGTAATAGAACCTAGGGGCAGTTGTGGGGATATATTTTCTGAGTACCAACACGTGGCCAAGGTGACGCCGACGTGTCAGTCGAGGTGCCACGTGTCCTGGTTGTTATGCCGAGGTCATCTCGGATAGGCCGAGGTTACCTCCAAAGATATCGGAATCCGAGACAAGCGGATGAGGGGCAAGAGTCCTAGAATGAGAGAAGACTTTAGTTTGTATTAAGATAAGACTCTTAGAGAGTTTATCCTAATCTTACTAGGAGTCCAAGATTAGCAGTAATCCTGAGTCCATAGAAGTTAGGCTTCTATTGGGACTAGGTTTATGTTGGCTATAAAATAGAGGCACCCCAGGGTCTAAGGTATGCTTTTGATACTCAAGCTTGTGGATTTAGCACTTGATTTATCTTTGAGAGATATACTAACTTGATCGTCGGAGTGCCCCCGGGTGGACGAACCACCGTTGGAAACTCTTCTTTCTGTTGCAGATCAGCCAGGTGCCATTTATTCTGTCGGTGCTCTCCAGCTGGTTACTAAGCGGGCAGTGTGGTAAGAAAATCACCCACACATTTATGAATTTATTTTTTAAATTTTTATTGCTGAATTTTTTATATAAACATATAATATTTATATAAACAAAAATGTTATTTCCATTTTGAGATTCAAAGTTTTAATTTAATTTTTTAAATTTTAAATATAAAAAATATAGTTTATAATTATACTAATTTAATAGGTTTTGAATTTTGAAAGTTCTAATTTAAAAATAATTTACCAATTTAAGAATTAAATAAATAAGTGGGCCAAATAAACTATGATATGTATTTTATTTTATTTTATTTTTAAATTTTCCAATTAAACTATAATATGTATTTTTTATTTGTAAGAATTTAGAATACACAATTAAATTTAGAAAACTAATTTTAAAAATGTTAAAACTTAATTGATTCTAAATTATTTTTCTTAAATATTTTTAAAAAATTTATATTATTATTTAATTTTTTATTATGTTGTTGGTTAATTGATTATTTTTATTTAATATATATATATATATATTGGCAAATGATTGGATGTAATGGATATACATATATATTGCCTGTTGATGGGTATAGGGACAAAATAGACATTAATGTATGTTGCTTGCTTATATCCCATAATTCTTTTTGCCAAACAAACATAGATAATAATAAAAATAAAAATAAAAATAAAAAAACACCCAGTACTATATCCTGAACTCAACAAATATGAGCATGGGATATGTTATCTAATCCATATATCATATTCATTGCATATACTGAGTAAATCATAAGGTATATTATATCCTTCATTTTACATTCTGACAATCAAAAACAGAGCCTATATTCCTATACTTATACACATTCAAAATGAGACCCATCAAGTTAAGTAATCCAACGCCACTCAAAAGCATACCTGGAACCGTTCAATCAAAGTCATTTGATTTTTTTGCTAGATTATGTTGATTGAAAACTAGTGAGAGCTAAAACACAGAATTTGATATATGAGCTATATTACATGGACTCGAATATGAGTGTCAGGTGCTGGTATGTATCTAGATGTCGAAGTCACCAAACCATAAATTTAAGGGCACGCAGCCTCAAGTAGGGCTTCACACACCGACAAACTCACCACCTTCTATCAACCAACGTATTGACACTCGACCCACAAAATCGTGAAATCCTCCCCGAATCTCGGAAGTGGGAATCAGTCAGGGAGATTTTGAAATTTGAATTATGGCGAATTACAATGAAATTGAACCTAGGGTTCTTCTTGATGTGGCAACTTTTCAACTATCCAATTTGGGCACTTTCCACACACACATTATCCTTCCATTGTGGATCGAGTCAAAAAGCGCTTCCGTCAAAGACGGTATTTTATTGGCTACACTTGAACCAAATATTCGCATCCGGATCTATGTGCGTACCACGTTATGAGGTTATTCACGCTACATTAGCTACAATTACATGACGTGGACTGTTCATACCCCCACCTTCACACACCAACAATTCATAATAACAATAAAAGTATTATAGTGCTTTTGTAGGCTGCGTGGACAACAGACACCCTCATCTCCATAAATTCAAACACAACTACAATTACCCAATGGCAAATTGGTAAAGTCCTTTTTGGTTAATAAGGAAACATTTAAGATCTAATGGATTACAAGATTAAAATTTGAGATTTATTGGTCAATCCCCCAAAAAATAATCAATGAAGTAATAACATAATCAAAAATTAAATAATAATATAAATTTTTTAAAAATATGTAAGAAAAATAATTTAGAATCAATTAAGTTTTAACATTTTTAAAATTATTTTTCTAAATTTAATTGTGTATTCTAAATTCTTACAAATAAAAAATACATATTATAGTTTAATTGGAAAATTTTAAAAAATAAAATAAAATACATATCATAGTTTATTTGGCCCACTTATTTATTTAACTCTTAAATTGGTAAATATTTTTTGAATTAGAACTTTGAAAATTCAAAACCTTTTAAATTAGTATAATTATAAATATATTTTTTATATTTAAAATTAAAAAAATTAAATTAAAACTTTGAATCTCAAAACGGAAATAACGTTTTTGTTTATATAAATATATATTGTTTATATAAAAAATTCAGCTGTAAAAATTTAAAAATAAAATTCATAAATATAATTTTTTCGGTCATACACAATTAAATTTCTCATGGTAAAGTTCATATATACACAATCAGATTTTCCATTGTAAAAGGGTAAAATTGTATTTTTAGTTTTTATCCCATCTGATGGGATATGATATAATAGGGGGAGTGGGTATTGTATATCCACCTATTTTGGGAAATATACAATCCAGTTGTATATTATATATCATCTTTCAAAAAAAATTACAAATACAAAATATATGGAGTCCACAGTATTTAATTTCCAATCTAGCCTTTTATATCTTCCAAAATGAAACAAGGCCATGAGGCTTATGGGTAGTTTGTCAATTCGTTTTGTTTTCTTGTGTGGCCTGCTGGAGATAGATTATTACTCGTGGGGTTTAGATCATGAAGCATTCCTGTCGTTTGTTCAAGAAAGTCTTGCCACTCATTGAAAGAAAAAAAATATGGGAACACTTTAGGTTTTTACTTCCCCCCAAATGGTGGCAACCAAAAATAAGAAGCCCCAACTTGTAAAAGGACATAAGTTCATAGTTGCGATTCCATTATTCTATCCTTCAAAATAAAATTTCAATGAAAAAATATTAAACGAAGTTTGGATATAGCACAATTTGGAATGTTTAACTACCTAAGGACACATGCCTAATTCCCATAAAAAATAAAAAAAGAACACATACCTAATTTTTAAGTAGCCAAGTGATGAACACATACCTAATTCTTATAGTTTGTTGAATGCTAATTAATTCAGAAATGCTCTAATGGCCTCTCAATAGCATTAAAAACAAAGCTCCACACATGACATTGGAGTTTTATTTATTTCTTATATTAATTGTACATTATACCCATCTTTTATAAATAATTCAAAGTTCTCCATATCTATTGTAGACCTATCAAAACAAAGCAAATATTTACTACAGAACGACCATTGACGTTATGCAGCTACTGGCATAAAAAAGACAACAAATCAGATTCAAAAATACTTCCAACTCGTTGTTTAATGGTCTTCCACTCATTTTTCCCCTTGTCGTCTTTGGATTTGTAGAGTCAAATGGATTGTAAGGCATGGTCAGACTACGTGCATCTCCTACCAACATTTGCACCACAACTTTCATCAATGGTCGGTCCGCAGGATACCAATGTATACACGACAGTCTGATAATAGTTAGTGTTTTTTTTTTTTTTTTAACAATCCGTGCATCTGTATCTTCGTCAATCTAGATTTCTAGATCTTCTCCATGATCCAAACGGTTGTAAACCCATTCAGGGAAGTACACTGCACTTGTGTTTTGTGTTACCTTATTGTTCCTCACTCCAACCATTTCTAGCAGTAGCATTCTAAAAATGTAGACATCTGATTTGCATGACACCTTTCTGAAATTTCGAGAGAGCACTTTGGGTGCAATATAGCTGACTGTGCCCCCGTTGCAGCAGTCATGGATACACCACTTCGTTCCTTTGAACACAACTTTGTTAGGCCAAAATCAGAGATCTTTGGATTAAAATTCTGGTCCAACAAGATGTTATGAGGTTTAACGTTGAAGTGAAGTATTCATTGATTGCAACCTTTCGGTGAAGATAGTCAATTCCTTCAGCTATGCCAAGAGCAATATCTTGCAGCTTCTCCCAACCTAGTGAATTCTTTTTGTGTTTAGATGATACGAACTTTTCTAGGGAATGGTTTGGTAAGAATTCGTAAACAAGAGCTCTTTTAAATGCATTTGCATAATATCCGACCAAACGTACAACATTGATGTAGTGGATTTTACCTATTGTTCCCACTTCATTGGTGAACTCATCCCCATTTCCCTTGACATTGTTGAGGATTTTGACTGCGACATGAACATCATTGGATAGATTTGCCCTGTACATTGTTCCATAGGCACCTTGCTCTATTTTTCTTGGTAATGTTCTTAATGTCGGCATAAGAACATCTTGCAGACTTGAGAGCTTTGTCATCCAAAATCTTTCAGTCTTTGCTTGATTCTCTCTCTTTATTATTATTAATCTAAGGGCACAATGTAATTGCAATAATGACCACAACAGGAAGAAACAGGCCTCGGAGCATATCTACAATTTAAAACAGTCAAACTAAGAAAATGTTGTCCCCACATTAAAAACATAAACAAGGTGGATGAATAACTTCAGCAACAAATGCTAGGTTATTTTATTTTATTTTTTGAAAACCTACAAACACTCGGTTGGGAAATAAATTGTTAAATTACACTTTTTATTTTTTTATCAATTTCATTTTTATTTGGGGAATAATTGAAAATCAATCCATTTTTCCGAAAATAGTTTTCAGAAAATTCTACTTTCTTATTTTCCGTGTTTTTTTGTTTTTACTGAATTTTTTAATATTTTAAGAAATTTTTTTACTTTTTAGACACACTTAACATAAATACACCTAAAAAGTAAAAAAAAAAAATGAAAAAAAAAATCTTTTAAAATTTCACCAAATACCAAAAATACAAAAAAAAAATACAAGAATTCAGTACATTTTTGTATTTTTATGTATTTATTAATTTTTAAAAATATTTTTTTACAAATTTTTTACTTTTTAGATACATCTAAGTAAGGTGCATCTAAAAAAGTAAAAAACTGTTTAAAATTTTAAAAATATTCACTAAAAACAAAAAAACACGAAAATCAAAATACCCAATTTTCAAAAAATTTAATTCAGAAAACTCAAATCAAACGCATGGTATTATACCTTTGTTCCCACAGGTATTGAGTTTAAATGTTGGAGTATGTCTTTATTTTCTTTTGTTTGTATGTAAACTATTCTTGATGTATTAATTAAAAGGAAAGTAGTATTTTTATAGACATTTTATTCATAATTTTTTACCATAATAATGTGATAGTGGTATTCATCACTATTTTGTTTTAAAATGAGAAATCCAATGTAGCTACATCAATCTATATAATTTATGTATATTTTTATTTATTTATATCATTACTCTAATTAAAATTCTTACGTGTTGTATATGATGAGAAGCCCAGTCAGAAATAGGGGTGGGCATTAGTCCAGTTGGGTTGCACTACCAATTAAGAGACTTTGTGTGTTACCAAATCCAGCGCGGCCCAAGTATTGAGCTGATGTGGTCAGCCCAAGCACGGAGCTTCAATATGCACATCACAAAATTTCTTAATATCATCTACCAAACAAAATCAATAGTTCGGATTTCAACTATCGAGCAATGTCGAGATTGTTCATTTGCGGTCGAGATTTGGGACGCGGGGATAGAGACAATTTGGCATGGGGGTTCGTGGTTTGAATTTTCTTAGTTGGGTTCAAGCTCAATCCACCAATGTCGTTGAGGTTGATCTTGGCTTATTTTTTATGGTCTTTTGGCATATTTGGTTGGCTAGGAATCGGTTTGTGTTTAAACCAGGAGCGTTCTAATCCTATCGATGTGATGAACTGAGCGTGTTCTAATCTTCAAGAGAATCACGAAGTGCATCACAGGTTCATGGGCTACCTGCTGCTTGGGAGGTTTGCGGCTGGCAGATGCCTAGTTTGGGAGTGGATAAACTTAACGTCAATGGTGCTATTTTTAAAGCAGACATGACAGCAGGTATGGGGGTTGTTGCTCGAGATCATTTGCATAATGTAATTGGAGCGGTGTCTGAACAGGTTCAGGGGATTGTTGATCCAACATATATTGAAGTCATGGCAGCGGATAGAGCAATAAGATTTGCGGCGGAGTTGGGTCTTCTCGATATTCATCTGGAAGCAGATGCGTTGGAAGTGATTAATGAAATCATCAAAGCTGAGTTCTCTCTTTCGGCAATTAGGCATATATCTCAGGCGATTTCAGTGGCTGGAGCATCCTTTTGATTTTCCGTTATGTAGTTGATATCCGAACGTAAAAAAGTGGTATTAGTTGAGAAAAATTGTGGTGCACAAATAAAAGATTTCCCCATGCCTAGTGTTAAAGACAACGTAATTTCCAAGTCTACCTGCTTAGCCCTATGAACATGTGATTTTTATAAATAAATAATTTTTATTTTAAAAAGCAAGGAAATTGATTCCATCTACAACAGAAGCCTTTCGGATCGAAACAAACAATAACATATCATTTGCATAAAAGAGAAATGAGCAAAAAGGAAAAAAAACAACAGCAATAACAGTCATCATACAAAGGGAGAAGGGGCAACAAAAAAGAGAAACGAAGTTAGCTTAAGTTACTTGCTGAAAATTGGGTAAAAAATTAAACATAATATAATATCTCAAACTACAAAATTCTTGGAAGACTGGAATATTCTAACGCTATATTTGGTCGGGGGATTTAGGAAGGAAATAAGAAAGAGAAAGGGAAAAGATGTGTGAAATTAGGTAAAATGTAAGTATATTTTATTCACATTTCACTTGCCTTTTCTATTTCTCTTTTCAAATCCCTCCTCAATTCTCCCAACCAAACACAGCATAAAAGACTTTTATATAAAAAATACTTCTCTAATACTTTTGTATGAATAATACAATTAAAATTATAGAATTTTTTTATTAGTAGACTAGGCTAAAAATCTGAATCTCAAGTCCAACTCGAAAATTAAACAAACCTAAAATGCTAGTCCCACTCGGTTTTTCAGCTGAAATATCTATCATAAACCTATGTCCATCCTCGGTCGCAAATGAGACAGTGCTTACAAAATAAATGAGATATGAGGTCTGTCTTTAGAAATAAATGAATTAGGTTACACTCTCCGAACCTAACTGGTTAAACATTCCAAATAATTTGTGATCTAATATGATATTAAAGAGAGGTAAAGAGAGGGTGAGGGAGGGTGGAACCCTGTGCTAAGGAAAAGATGGGTGGGCAAGCAGCACAGTGCATCAATGGGGCCTGGTTTAGTTATCATTTTTGTTGATGATATAACAGAAAAGATGGATCCAAAAGGTTTGTTGACTCTATTCAATAAGTTCAAAGTTGTAAAGGATGTTTTTATTCCAATGAGAAGAAGAAAAGCAACAAGGTCAAGATTCTGGTTTGTTCAGTCAATTGTTCAGTAGCAGGTAGTATCGCAATACAAAAAGCTGATGGGATCTGGTGTGATGATAAGAGACTTAAAGTAAGGTATGCAGAGTTCAATTAGTCAGCCTATAGCAATCAGTTGAAGGTAAGATTGGGCAGACTGGTTTGAAGATTGGGCAGACTGGTTTGAATCGATCGTACGCTGAGGTAGTATCAAATGAAGCGGAACAGGGGAATCACAGTCATGGTAAAGGAAGAAGGAAATGGCTGGCTGTACGTGAGCTTGATCATTAAACTTAAAGTATTCTTCTTGTTTTACACTTTTAAAGAGGAATGCAGTAAAAGAGGACTCAAGGATGTTCTTGTGCGAGAAGAGGGAGGAAGATTAGCAGTAATAACCTTTAACTCAGCACAAGCATTGAAGGGAAATGATGGGGGGAAGATCTAACCCGATCCGGCCCACTTGGACTACATGGGCCATGTGCAAAGTCCAAGGAAACTTGCTGACGTGGTACTTGCCAAGGTCCAGTTGTTGAGGTAGACCCTACCTCAGTGCCATGTAGCTCGACTTTTTCGCGCCCCCTTTCAGAAGGTTCGAAAGAAGTCCTACAGTTTGGACTCCTGCGGTTCTGAATCTAATCTTACAAGTGCAATGTAAAATTGACAAACACCAAAGAGTCCAAATCCAGCAATTTTTTTGAAAAATCGATTTTAGAATGAAAAATGTCAAAATTGGACTGCTTTGCCAGATACAAAGTTGCCACCAAAATATTTTTGTTTTGGAAAAATTTAGGAAACCCATGACTCGTGCCAAAGGCCAAGTGTCCGTCATCACCAAAGTTGCCTAGGCTCAGGAACTTGGGTACGAGAGGGGAAAGTCATGAATTGAGCACTCCCACTCGCCTGATCAAAGATCGGCCTCTACTAATCATGATATGATTTTTTATCAACATTATATGCTCTTGTTCCAGTTTATTAGGCTAGCATTTACTATGTGATGCGCATACAAGGTATAGAATAGTTTACCCGAATTGGAACAATTTAATTTCATGTTTGTTTTGCAAAGGGTTTGATTTTGCCACTTAACAAAGTGGGCTTAAAGTTGTGAATTTGCTACTTGACAAAATGGGCTTAAAAGTACATTTATTGAATTATTCCAATTCAAGCAACAAGCTTTCATCCACAGACACTCAAGCAGTTTAACAAGTAAAACATTTAGCCTCATGGCAAGCATGCTAGTCATGGCAATCACTCACACTCATGCAAGTACGCTAAAGCACTAAAAACTCACCTAGTACTCCAAGCCAGAAAGATATGAGTTAGAAAAATTCATGATTCCTAACTTTGCCAAATGTCTAATACGACACATGCAATAATGCAATTAATAGGTTCGACTACTAATATGGCATATAAGGCAATTTGATAATATGCGGTTAAACATGTATTCAAAGAATGTATTGAAATGATAATGTAGTTAGAATGATGCACCGAGCCTCGGTAAATGCAATACAAGATGAATGTATGCAAGCATAAGCTATGCTAATTGAAACGTGATGCTCCTAATTTAACCATCAAAAGCGAATAAATAAAAGGGAGAAAGACGTGGGGTTGGAAGACATACACATTATTACATTGCGCTTTCACGAAGGAGAGTCCGAAGAATAACTAAGCTATTTATTACAAACCAAAATGAATAACTAGTTAAACTACTTAACTAATTATTACAACAACAAATGAACTAATTAGTTAACTGACTAATTAAATAATTACAAAATAATTGCAACTAATAATTAAACTAAGTAATTAACTATTCCGCTTCAGGAAATGAGAGATGTGCATGCACATACTCGATTTTCACCTGAAAAGACCTTTGTTTTGCTCCCGAATGCCTCTGTTTGCATAGTTGAACATTCCCAGAACCATTTTGCTTCACCTTACCAACACTCTGCTGAGATTTGCATCAGTGGCCAGCCGGCCACTGGG